ATTCTTTAAAAACATGAGAAACACAGATATATTTTGGTCTTAAGACTCAAAGGCAACATTCCATTTTTCAATATAGACATGGTTAGTATTTTCTCATCTTCAGGATGATAAGTACAAGTGAATAAAGAAAACAAATTTATAATCATAAAAATATGCTTAATTCAAAAAATTTGTTATCTAAGTTAATGGAAAATATTTTTGTCGAAATAATCAATTATTAAGTATGTAGGATATTACCACTAAGGGATTTTGAGTTTTGCATCATCCTTAAGCTTCAATAAAAACATCAACTAATGTTCATCACTTTCAAGTAAAAATCTCTGCAATTTAAACTTAATTATAGTAAATCTAATCAATAACGTTATAGAAAAAGGTAAGGTTAAGAATAATTACATAAAGTTATTGAGTTAGATAGTTGGAAATCTAGCAATTGTAATTTAACATTTATGAGACCGATTATTATCTTCAAAATTGGAAGTATTTACTATATTAACAAGAATTAAATACAAGGTGACTGTTTTGCCATTGATGAATTTTTGTACCATCGATGTACACTGAGAAAGAAATAAAATAATTAAGAAGATATATTATGTTGATTTGCAAACATATAGGATGGTCAGTTCATAAGTTATGGCTTTAAATTTGGGGAGGATTTGAATTTTATTTTAGGGATAACAGAAATTGGTGAAGGTTTGAGCGGAAACATTGATGGACAACGTGTTTGACCAAACATGGGTCAAGATGACGTAAACAATTTGATCTAAGGGTGGAAAAGGTATAAGTGAAACACAATAAAAAATATTTATTGTTTTAGATGATGAAATAAAGTTTCTCTTTTAGACATAGAATTCAATCTTCTATTTTGTAAATGTAAATGTCTTACACTAGGGTTGTGGTGACTTAGTAAGACATGTGGAAGATATGGCGGATAACCTATTGACCCATGTTCAAATCCTGACACTTCTCAGCCTCTGTGGCCATGGAGGTTCGCCTGCAGTGAGTCCAGGGCATGAGGCATAGCCTCATGTTCGCAGCGGGAGATTAGTCAGTGCGCGAAAGCTGACCCGGAAACCCTCGTTAGGGAAGTTCCCTTTCCAAAAAAAAAATGTAAACGTCTTAGTCTTCGCCTCTCTCTAGCGTCATTGTAGTGAGTTTTATTATTTAAATCTGTAAAATTGTGGATATCATTAATATCTAAAAAATAATAATATTTCAATGGTAATTGTTTTACTAATAAATTTATCAATAAATTCACAAGGAACTATAAATAATTTTTTTAGAACGGTTAAAAGATTTATAAAAGTTTATAATTTCATAAATAGTTTTAGTTTGCTAATATTTATATTGAAGTTGTAATGATTAACATTGTAACAATGCTGACAAATTCACATTCAAACGGAATAATAGAGTAAAAAATGATTAATATTCTAAATTCATATGAGTTTAAACCCAAAAGGCAAATAGATGAATAATTCAACATTTCATAAAACCCAAAATGTATTTAAATGATCAAAATTCTAACCCAAAAAACGAATAGTATGAAACAAAGTAATCAAAACCAAACCCAAAAACCAAATAGTATGTAAACATAATATGAAATCAACCGTACTCAAATCACCCAACTACTCATATAAAATCATGAAAATCATATATTATTTTTCTTTCTTTGGAATTAACAGTTTTGACTTGTCTTCTCAAGAAGTACGATCTATCATTGATGTTAATGATCGTTTGGTTGAGGACATTGTTTCCAGATTATCAACATCGTAAACATCTTCCAAGTTGTGTTTTAATTCTTCATGTGTAGACACTTTTTTAAAGGACGTCCACTTAGTTAGTGGACTTGTTGCAATACTTTTATCAAGATTCGAAGCGGATGTGACGTTATCACCAGTAAACGAAACTGCATCTTAGATATAGAAAATAAATTCATATGTCAATCTAAAAGTTAATAATATTTTAAAGTATTTAAAGTATTAGATTTAGTTATATTATATTCAAAACCTTTAAATTTAATGTGCCTTAACATCCGAATTTCGCTGATAAAACGTTAAACGAATCGGATTACGACGCCTATATTTGTAGTATATAGAAATATGTTAGTTGATCAACTAAAATATAAAAAACGAATGTAATAAGTGTAGTGTTTGTACTATGTTTCGTAAAAGAATGTTACCTATTCGATGTTAATTTTTTTTCCAATTCAACAGCGATTTTATTATCAACATTGAAGTTTGAGATTGCATAACCATCAACATTGTTCTTCAAATTATAATGAGAAATTTGAATTTTGAACGCCAACTTTTTATCTAAAAGTAATTTGAAAGCAGACGGATAAATCTTCATATTACCCTCCTAGAAATGAAAAAATTAACGGTTATAAAAATAGACAGACAAAAAGTAAAAATTAGTTTTATGTAAATGAAGTTAATATCGATAACCTCATTAAACTTTTGAAGCAACTCTTGTGTGTTTTTTTCCAGAAGTTTCTTTGCGTCACGATCAAATAACGTAAGTGACACCACGCCTGTAAAGTCTTGTAGTATAATAGTGATTTTGAAACTAAAACCATTGATATAAACAAATTCAATAATATAAAATTAGAAAATTTAATCGAAGATTATAATAATATGTATAAAAGAGTTATTGAAAACCTTGGAACAATAGATACGTCTTTGTTCATTCAAGTTGAAGTGTAACAATAAAAAACTTCTTTATCCTGCTTTTGGTCTGCTCCACTAGCTTTATCATCATGCATTAAAACGAATTTTATGGCTTTCTCTTGACAAACATAGGTCAACACATTAAAAAATCAATGTAAAGGGTATAATTTTGTTTCTGTAACTAAATGAATGAAACTAATATGCTTAAAATAGATTGATTAATTTTTTCATGACCTCTCAACAAGAACACAGTAATAACAAATAATAAGAACATAGTAAATGCAAGAAATTGAAGAAGAATAAGGAGAACAGAGTAAAGTAAGAGCTTGGAAAAAAGAATTGGAGAAGAAGATTGCTCAAGAAGAACACTATAAATCATAAGACTCAATCCAAAATCGTAAGAATAACCACGTTAGTGTAATCGTATATATATATGATGTTTTTTTGAATAAAGAAATCATTATCTTCTAAAAAAATTGGGATCGTAAGATATCATCTTGGAGATTTTCGGCTATTCATCTGGAAAAAAAAGAAAGATTTCAACTATATTAATTCAAAACTTCAAATTAATTGACTTTCTTATTTAATCATTTTTAAAATTCAAACAATTATCTCAAATTGATTTCATTTTATGTGGGATATACTGGAAGATAAATTATGAATAATATTGACTTTAATTTTAACTCTTAAATATTTTGCTGATTTAATGGGATTAGATTAGATTTGGTTAATAACTTAATTATTGATATGCTTGTTTAATGAGTTTTTTAAAAAATAAATAAATAAAAAACAAAATATAAACGAGTTTGAATTTGGAAATCAAAAGGTATAAATAAGGAAGTTAAATTAGGAACAATATTAATTAGAGAAACTGATATCATGTATATAAATAGAATGATATGTTTCAATTGATAAAATAATTACTGAATTTAAAGATATTATAATTATTACAGCTTCTATAATTAAATGTAATTGTGTTTGAATTTTATTTGGGGAAGATGATGTTAGTAATTTGATCTAAGAGTGGAAAACGTAGGATTAAAACACAATCAAAAGTCATGATTGTTTCATTAATGAATTAAAGGTTCTCTTTTAATAATATTTAGAGATAGTAACGAAATTTCACAATTCTTTCAGTAATTTATTAAGCTATGACATGATTTAATATTGGTTGAACACATAGCTCATATAAAAATGTTTAATAACTAAAAATAATATTGACAATATCTGTTTTTAATGTATGAATCACTCGTTGCTCACAGGTAAAGCTAAAATTTTGCTTGTAAAGTTAAACAGTACAAATATTTTTCTGCCATGTTCACTAGCAGTAGATGGACACGCGTCATGTTGGCTTTGTCACATAAAGCATGATAATAAATGTTTAGGTAATAAAACATTATAATAGGCCATGGTTACCAAGGGCATTATGGTAATTTTAAGTAGACCTTTTGTTGGGTTAAACTATGCCAATAGTTATAAATAATGATTAAAATTTTAAAACTTAAAAGCTACTTTCATGTAAACCAAGGAGAACTCGACACCATTCTTGGTCAATAGCATCCACTAAACCAAAGCCACTTAGGGGTTCCCACCACCGACAACGCGTAATTCTGACCTGCTTTAAGATCCATTGGGCCCTTGTGAGCCCATTAGAAACAAAACGTTGTTACTCGTTACTACATACTTACATCCATAATCTATTCTTCTTCTAACCCAGCTACATTCCTTAGTCCCCACCCAATTATATAAGCCGCAAAACCAGCAATTGCACCATTGAAAAGGGTTCCCACCACCGACAACGCGTAATTCTGACCGGCGATCTTCGCCTTCGCGATTCCGAGAGCCGCCAGTGCGAGGGCGGAGAGAACACATGCACCAATGAACTTGAGGGTGTCGTTTTGGGTAAACGGGATGAGAACGATGAATGAAAGGATCGGAGCACTACCAAACAATAGAAAAGCTCCGAAAGTTACTAAGCCTGTCTTCCATGGCTTCTCCCCTTCCTCCGGTGATAATATTCCATTCTGGGCCATCTTTTCCTCCACCATTATGTCGCTATACTTTGCAAAGATTTCCACAACCTGGGCGAAAATGATGGTTGTAAGTTGTAACTTGTAAGTTATTGTAAACGATGATGAGGTTGACTCATTTTTACAGTAAAATGTGTTAATTACCATTGTTGCATCTTCATGGTTCATCCCTAGAGCTCGATACCGATCAAGTAACGATTGTTCTTGAAGGCGGCGACAGTTAGTGACGTCCCATTCCGTCACGAGTCTCTCCTTCGCCGCCACGTCATGCTCTGTGTTACTCGAAACATAGTCTCCCATCCCCATTGATATCCCATCGGCCACCAAGTTTGCAAACCCCAAAACCAACACATCAACTGCAATAATCAAACACGATCGTTAAATGATCAATCTCTCAAAAACTTTAGCACGAGAGACTGGTTTTGAAAGTTCACCGGAAGATAAACGGCCGGCGGAGATGGAAGAAATGAGAGAAAACGAGGTGACGATAGCATCGAGTCCGGAGTACACTATGCTCTTCACAAGTTCGCCTTTCCATGGCTCTTTCGGCCTATCTCCGCCGCTGTTCTTCTCTGCCACCTCCGTGTCTTGGAGCAAAGAGATGGTGGTTGTGGTGGCGCCATCGCTATTTCTGGACATTTTTTATTGCTACCACCGGTTTTTTTACTATGCGCTTTATAAAGAGTGTGTAGCTGATGTCGTGGCAGCTTGCATGCTTAATAACTTTTACACGTGTTTCTATCTGGTTAATACGAAAATTCTTGATTAGTGTGCGTGGCAGCTCGGGTTTTGTTGGTTATATAAACAGTAGTTGCACTTATGATGAACGGCGTGTGGTGTACACAGTTGGATAGACAGATAGTTCATAGTTACACGTCTGAATTTTATTTAAGATCTTGTGATAATATAACAAGAATTCATAAAATTGGAGAAATGTAAATAAGGAGGTCAATAGAAGTAGACAACATCCATTTTGGCTAAGTTTTAAAACTTTGACCGGTTTTTAACGTTATTCAACTCGTTTTACCAATTACACGACTAATAGCTTTTAAGTTAGAATTTTAAAAATCAAATAGTTGTGAAAAGACTTACGTGTGTTCTATCGCAAACATTCACAAAATAACAGCAAAAAACAAACAATCCCATGTAGACAGACGTGCACAAACCGGTTTTTTCTTCAAACTGAACCGGGTCGATTCTAATTCGAAAATAGCAACATCGCTTTAGCCCTAAACCGGTTCATTCATAAAAAAGTCAAACCTATCTAAACCGGTTCCATCGGTTCAAAATTGGTTCACACGGTACTAAACCGGTTTTAATGACTAAAATCTTGAACCGGTGCAAACCGGCGGTTCGGTTCTGAATCAAATTGGTTTATAGTGGACCGGTTTATCGGTTCTATAACCGGTACGGATCGCGAACCGGTTTTTTTATGCAAGTCTAACCCTTGTGTCTTTATCAATTTTATATCAAAACAAGAGCCCAATATATAAAACAATATACCGAAGCCCAATTGGAAATGTAATAAGAGCCCAAATAACTTTAATTTAGGAGATATAATGCTGTTATTTGTTTAATCCACTAAAAACAACAATATGTCATCCATGGACACAATAAGCCACTACCATGTCGACCAATGGCCCATATGTCATCCATATGTCATCCATGGACACCATAATCGACTACCATGTTGACCAATGACCCGTATTTCATCTATGGACACCATAAGCAACTACCATATTGACCAATGGCACATATGTCATCCATGGACACCATAATAAACTATCATGTTGACCAATGACTCGTATTTCATCCATGGACACCATAAGCAACTACCATATTGACCAATGACCCATATGTCATCCATGGACACCATAATCAACTACCATGTTGACCAATGACCCGTATTTCATCCATGGACACCATAAGCCATTACCATGTGGACCAATCAACAATATATCATCCATGGACACAATAAGCCACTACCATGTCGACCAATGGCCCATATGTCATCCATGGACACCATAAGC